TAACATCAATTTGCTGAGGATAGCCAGAATATGAAGCGCATTCTAATTGATAAAAACGAAATCAAACGTGACTCATGCTTTAATTGCATACACCATTTGCTCTTTCATTGAGAAAACACTCACATTCTCCACAAAACGGTACATTGCATCCTTTTCCCTGGGGATGCAATAAGTGTGATCAACTTATTGCTCAGAGAGTTGTCTGTTCGAATCCCATCAACGCCGCCCATTAATTACCGTTAATTTGTAATAAAAACCCTCAGTTGGTTGCTCATCCATTCTTAAAAACTAGTTTTATAATAATATATGTAACAGAAGAAAGTGAAAGAATAAAAATAAAAGATTTTCGTGGACTGAAAAATGTTCCATAAATTACTAATGAGCTTTCATTTGTTCGAATCCATCTGGAAAAGATACACACCATTACAGTTTGGGATTCCTTGATTTACTAAGTTTTTCATTTGAAAAAACCTTTGAATAAATAATCTTTTTTGAAATAGAGGACGCCATAGCAAATTTTTCAGTGCTCAGGCGACGACTTTTCATCCACACACAAACAACCGTTGGGGTCTGCGCAATAGCGAAATCAGCCCCAGTGAACCATTGCCACTGTCCAAGCCATCACACAGGTAAGTCCATTGAAGGGGGTGGGGGGTAATTAACAGGCTAATCTACGCCGTGCCACCGGAAAGAACCTGCGCTATCTGCTCCTTTGAACCTTGGCTAGGTTCCCAATAGGTTCGACGCATGCCCACTTTGATGATACCATGTAGGAGTGAAACACTTATGCATTGATTAGTTCTTTCTGGATTTCCGACTTTTAACTGTCGAAAAGCAATCCCTAGCTTCCTTTAAACGTGTTCACACTACGCCAGCTCAATTTAATCCCGACTGCAGCTGGTGATGACCACGTTCTACCCCGGTACCCTCTCTAAAAAATCGATGTGCTTTTTACTGAGCAAATGATTGAAAGAGTCACATTAGTTGCTGACTTTGCCAGACGCGACTTGAGGTTAAGTGAGATTCCGCCGAGCCAGGTGTGATGTGTATCCGTGCTGTGAGGACGGAGTAATTAGTTCGGATTGGAATGATTAAACCTCTTCTTAACACAGCATGCTCATGATGACCATTTGAGCTAAAAGAGCTGTAATACGTAAACAGAAAAGGAAAGATTTTTAGAGTATCAAGCTTGGATTAGCCCATTCGATTAGTCAGAGACACCAGGCACTCTTCATGGTGTTGGATGTGGGTTTCACTCCACGGGAGATCGTTAATCCCCTACGAGGTAAATGCATTCAAATGCGATGGAAATGTTTGTGATGACCGACAAACAGCACTGGACATCTGTTCTGTCCTTTTTGAGACTCGTCAGTAGTGCGTACGTTTTGTGTCCCTGTCAGGACTCGAACCACGAACATTCCGGTTGGGACTTCTAACCCTTATTCCCGAGCTAAACAGTCGAATAGAAAAGGAAAGTATAAGGTAGATCTCCATTACTACTGAAAACACATTTTTTCTTATGGACACTGTTGACCTTTCACGGACTGTAGAATTCTCCAACAAGTACACTGTACGGACGTACCCCGATCACAATGAACCCAAAAGCTGTTTAACATCATGTTGCATTTTCAGTTTATTTTCATAGCTGAACATCTTTGGGACTGAATAATGATAACCGTATGCGACAGTAGTGGTAAAACGGAATCGGTTACTATTCCATCGATTGTGCGTTTGTATTACACCGATCACCTACCTTACCCCGTCCGCTTCGAGCGCAAACGTCCCTAACGAGTTTAAATTGTTTTGATCCCTTAATTGTTTTCCAAGGACTAATGAATCGTGGGATTTTCGCCGATTATCGGGATCAGACACGTAGCTCAGGCACTGCAAGAAAGAACAATGTTTTATTCCTAACTCGTACTCGTTACACATTGTCGCAGTCCCCATCATTGAATGGGTAGGTTCTCGTTTCAACAGTTTTGTCACAGTTCTGGGTTTTACCGTCTTAACTAATACTGAATCTGATTCCAACCCCGGGATACGTCAATTTTACAAGTCATATTCTCTTTGAGATTTTGTACCTAACGTTGTCCATTACTATTGTCGTTAACAGTGAAAAGCACTAAAAGTAAATGAACTGTAGTTTTTAATATCTCATATTTTCAAGAGATACATTCATTCCGCATAGTTGGCTCACGATTAAATACGGTTACCGTTTATCAAATTTGGAACCCGCGTGCATATCTTTGAATTACGAAAACGAACGGTCTACTACTTCAGTCATATACGTTAAAAAATTTTTAAATCATATTACAGTATCATCTTACGCAATGATAATTGTCCGTTCATAGAATGTGCTTATAATGAAACCCACCGCAAGGCAAGTTCGCCCCCCCCCCCACCACCTCGGTCTCCTCCGCCCACCTGAAGCATTACGGCGCACAAGTTATCATCCTGTCGGAGCAGGATGGTTGACATTCCGACGATTTGGCAGAATAACGCCGTATGCCCATATTTCGTTTTTGTTGTTTAGCGATCAAATCTGATCGACCTCAATTCAGGACATGTACCTGCAGGGGGGGAACACTTGATTTGACAAAGAGCTTTCGACTATGCTTAACAGAGTATATTGTAGCCCCTAATATTACATTAAGTTAACGGGTCGAATCTTCGAAAGCAACAGGTAAACAAACAGCCCCACACGAACTGATTCGCACAGTATCAACAAATACACCTGTATGATGAGTAGTTCAAGTTCACAGCCCGAGTGGGCCCCCGAATATTTAAGGTTATTTCGCTTTGAGGCAAAAGAACCTCATGTTTAGTGTTTCCCGAGTGGACTGAATGGACTGAGAATTGTGCCTGAAAATGAAGTCTGAAAGACGATCGATATTGCCTATCTATGACACTACCCACAATTATTTGTGAGTTCAGTGTTTCAAATAAAATGAAAATATGTCCCGCGATAATCGAAATAGGAACCTGGACAGGCGGAGTGTAAAACCCTTAGTGCTAACTCCTTGAAGTACTCGGCATTATCATCTGACCTCACCAATTGCTAACCACTATCGTTAAAAGTGACTTTGCAGCAGGCACACAAGATATTTTTTTGTACCCTTTGGCAAGCTACACTTTTTAATGTTTTTGTTTGTGCAACCTACATAATTCGTCGACCATTCATGAAACGAGAGACCAGTGATGACAAGACAGAGCGTTGAATTCTTCATACGAAAATCAATTCTCTCTATTTGCCGTTGGAATCATTATGCGATTCGTTTTAATTTCCCACTCCCTGAAGTTTCTGCCATATATCACTACACGTTGTGCATGACCCAATGTATTTTGTGCAACAATAATTGAATCACCAGCAGGTAATAGACGTGTACTAACTAGTGCAATCTCTGACGATTTATTTTCACTAGAAACATATTATGTACTTTTGCAACGTCTCAAACTGTCTGGGAGGTTAGTATTTTCTATTCGGAGACAACAGTGGTCTACAAGTAAAAAAGGTAATATGATTCAGATAAGTGAATGCATTCATGAATCTTTCTTATAATTCTCCAGAATCCAATGATCACCATTGGCTATTGGATCGCTTTGAAATTTGCATAATATTTTCCACTCGTTCGGTGGAGCAGCATTTACGATCAAGCCAGTATCCAACAAATTGGGAGTTGGTTTTCGCAAATCAGACTCGTCCAATTGGGAAAAATTGAGGGCATCTGGTAAAACGAAAGTACACACTATGACTCTTGGTAAACAAAAAAATCATTTTAAACATTGACTTTTTTCCGGAGTTGTTTATGTGTTGGCACAATGTCACCGAATTTGTAGGAACAAAAGTGATTGCTTGAGATGCGTGTCCAAATATGCCGATACATTCGAGAGAGAAATAGCAATGAACTCTAACAGCTAGTAATAGCTGGATTCTCCTCGCCATGTTGCATATAGTATTATCCTTCTCTTTAAATGTGTTTCCCACGATCCTCACTATTTACTGCTCATTATGTTGATTAGACTGTGGTTTCTATGGTATGAGATAGCATAACACAAAGCCATGTCAGCTCAGATTATCATGATGTATTGTTGGGGAGCTAGTCTAAGTAATGATTGGAAATCAGTTGTATGAAGAAGTCTCTGTCATATCCGCGTATGACAGTACTCGTCCAAAGTGTTAAACCGCTGCTCGACGGAGCATGATAATTGAAGTGATAGTACCCCATTGTGTTGCTATTATCGCCTGGTCCCTGAAAATCCAGCCTCTATTCGCACCTACAAGATCACATGATGACACATAACCGGTGCATTGATGAGCCACCTGGTATCAGTTATGGCTTAGTTGGTTCAGTTTATTACCAAATTATAAGTCATAAACACGCAACAATTTCAAATCTGCCAAACAACATTATGAACAATTAACCTTACCTTAGAAGCTCATTTGGTGAACTCCGGTGAATTCTAAGGAAAACCTGTCGGGGCAGTCAACTTACATGCTAACTGGTGGATGCCATATGCCTCTATAAGTTGGATGGGTANNTGAGAAAAGATCAGTGCTATCGTTGTTGCCTCGTAACTGAGCTGGTAGAGCGTGCGTTGTATAAAAGCATAGGCGGCGTACATGCGTGTGTTTGAATTCCACCGAGGCTACTGAACTTTCACAACATAAAACTGTAAATCCGTCAAGCAACAATCTGAACAACTTCAAAAACATCATTATCGTGTATGTTCCATGCTGAGCGTCCGATTTGCACCAAAATCGAAGAACAGAATGAGCTGTTGCACAGTTTGTAGTCCCTTTTCCAGCGGTTGAATATTCATTTGAAAGCAGTACACGGGTTATTAAAAGTGAACCATCAGTTCGTGTATGCTTCCGGATATTTTGGGAAGCTTAGCTTTTCGAGGTGAGGGAGAAATTTATAAGACTCAAGTCGTGCGGTCAAAAATATTACACCTATCGACCATATGGGTAGTTTCAGATTAAAAATAGAAACATTGTATCCGTCAAAATGTGTCACCCTAAGGAGCGCGTAAAATGCGCGCGAGTTCGAAACCGGGGAGGAAAAATAAATTTACGGGTCAAGGAACTAGGTCGATTGTAGGTCATTAAGGAATCATTTACGTGACAGAGAGAGAGTAAAATTCTATTTCGCCTGTTCGCCGAGCTTGGCAGTTTGTTTGCAAACGTTTCATCACCAGCCGAGGTGACATCATCAGTGCTTGTCTGGCCCTTACTTCGTTTTCCTTAGTAAAACTTCCGTGTGTGGGTTTGGATCCCATGGAGGCTACTGAAATTTCCATAATTTAATACGCCAAGCAACCTAATTTGAACAGCGGCTAGTGTTGAGAATTGTTGAAGGAGATTTTACTTTGGGAATCAATTTCCGTAATTGATGCGCTATGACTAGGAGTGATGTTTTTTCCATTAAGTGATCGTTTAGCTTTCAAACAGATAGGAATAAAAAGCTGTCCATAAAACATTTTCATCCTAAATACTGGGTTTGACTCTCAAAAAGAGTGCAATTTTATCTGTTTGACATAAATACTAATATTTATTGAATATCTTTTGTGCATTCGGTCAATGATCGAAGTTGTGTGACACCCTGACTTCTTCCATGTATGTTCTCCTAACGCTCAGTTTTATGAGCCTCATTTACTAGATTGATATGATAGTTCCTCAAATCTAACGTACTTATTTTTTTGCTTCCATTAAATAAATACTCTAATTAAGTACGCTTTCTTGTTTTAGACGACAGTTCCTGGTGCATTAGGTGTTTGTTAACGAAGCCCCAATAAAAACACAATTGGAATTTTGTTAGAAAAAGGCTCACAAGCATGATACAGTATTTTAGCTTCATCTTTTCAATACATTTTTTGCCCTTGTTTGCATTGAATTAAAAAAATAAGTGTGTTTAGAACGCGCTTAACAACCAAAATAAACATTTTCATGGAACATTAAAAACAATTATTGGAAAGAATTAGCTTTCATTGTGCTTTGTGTGAAATAACTTTTGATTGTGAGCTGTTAATTTCGAACTACTACAAATTTTATTGCGACAATCAATGAAACGCTAATCCAAACGGGGATACAAGTGTACTAAGAACTTTTCAGCGGGAGATATAGTTCGTAACAAACGCACTTCACCGTAACTATCTATGTATAGATTTGATGCAGAAAACTGAAATTTATTTTCAAATTGAAAGTCATGTCGCACGAGTTCGACCAATCTTTTTAACATGCCAATGGTGCATTCAAGTTGACTTCTTACGGACTCATGTTGGTATACTTTGAAGAACCTCTGAAACAATGTAAAGTGACAACCCAAACAATCTGACTGAAGTTGTGACGACCGAGAACTGTTCAAGTCTCACTCGCTAAGAAATGGGGAATAGTGAAATTGTAGTCCTCAAACGCGTGCCGGAAAAGATTCTTTAGTCCAAATGTGATGTGTTTTCGAAAATATAGAAACGTAGCTTAAATCCCGTATCACGAATCAAGCAGTCTGGATAAAACAACAAAAATTTAGTTCTTTGCTTTACGGTATTGAGAAAAGTTTTGGTGTCGCAAGAGGACACTCACTTTCTATCTGGGATGTCTCAGGTTCTGTGTTCAATCGGTCTGATGGCTTACACACTACACGAAAAAATACTCCACGACATTTCAGACCACGTTTTCAAACAGTTACTGAACTGAGCCTACTGCCTTGAATTTTAATATGCGTGACATGTCACTCAAGCTATCCCTAATTGTTCTAGACGAACTCTCCCCGGTGAATAAAAGAATCGCGTCATAGCAATGAACTCGCTATCACAATCCTTTATATTTCCCATAGTGAGTAACTTTTCCATTCATTGCCGGCTCAACTGATGTGATGCGCGAAATGGAGTAGAACTAGTTGCTAGCATCGACTTTATATTCTAATAATAATGCTGGTATTAATCTCATGCACAATGATTGTATTCAGTCACTGAACTTCCAAAGCCCAAGAAACCAAACAATAAAGCCAGAGACACAAGCGATAATTCCGAATTTTCCCATGATTTCACACTGCCACATTTAGGTTAGTGGATTAAATAGTTCATTGTACATCATTTGTTACGTTTTCTCATTTAGTCGACGGAAACTCTCATTATTGAACAATTTTCTCGATTTCACGAACCCAAGAGCTTATGTACCGTGTTCTTGAGTATATTTTACTCCAAGTTATTTGGCTAATTCATCAAAATCTTATGCATTTTCATATACGAGAGATTTCTGGTCAACTGGAATCAGCGCTGTTTAGATGTTTTATCCTTCTTCCGGCTCCTCAAGTTTGCGTTTTGTTTGTGTTCCTCGGGGAATTCAGTTTAAGAAACATTGAGTTGAGAATCTGTACTTTCATCCCTGGGATATGATCAAATATGAGTGAAGCGCTTTACAAACATCTTCCATGCACTAGTTGAGACAATATTGGGAAGACTTACCAGGAAAATTGATAGCCTCCATTGGTTGTGCTGGTGCCGNTTGATATGTATGACCAAGTAATGCTTCTAGACTTTGATAGTTGGCATAATCCTCAGTGGAAACACTTAACGACTGCAGTTTAGCCAACTGGTTCATCAATTGTTGATTCATTCCAGTAGAGCTCGGTTCGGCCGCTTGGGGCTGCTGCGGTTGTTGTTGCTGTTGTTGGTTAGAACGCATAGTAGGACCGGACACCGCAACCGCCGGGTTCAAACCCGTTGTCCGGTATTGTACCGGGCCGGCCAGTACAGGTTGAGTGTTACTCGAAGCAGGTTCCTCATCACCGGAAGAATAACACGATCGAGGAGGAAGTCGAACCGCAGACGTACCTGGAAGAGCACTGAGCGAAGATTTACCAGCTGAAGTGGTCCCGGTAGAAGTTGGTGCTAGTTTGCCTGATGAACCCTGCATCGCGGCGATTGCTACAGCAGCCACCGCAGCGGCCGCCGCAGCAGCAGCTTGTTGTTGTTGCTGCTGTTGTTGCTGGCGTATTCGCAGTTGCTGCTGCTGTTGTTGCTGCTGCTGAAGCTGTTGTTGGTAACGTGATGTGTCGTATACAGTCATATCCGAATCAGACCACCGAGCACTTAGAGCGTCCCGTCTAGCGGATGCACTCGCTTGTGTAGTTGTGGCACGCTGGGTCNTAAGCTTGTCTGTGCACCACGTGTTCCATCCAAGCCAGAATGAGACTTGGCTGTGGCAGCTGCTGCAGCAGCTGCACTAAGCAGAGCGGATAGTAACTGACGTTGTTGTGATAGTCCACTTGGCGCTGTTTGCACTGACTCGGTGGGAGTACACACAGCTCCAGTTACTGGCAAACTGGTACTATAATGTGTGGGGAACTGATTTGAACTGAGAGATCGGGGAATGGCTAGATTTGGTTTTATTTGGCTTGACCCTAAAGACTGTGGATCCAATAGGGCTGCAGCTGCAGCCGCTGCAGCCGCTGCGGCTGCAGCAGCGGTGGTATCAGTAGACCTGTTAGCAACAGCTGCTGCATGGGTTTGAGGAACGAAACTTCTCCCAGGTCCGGCATAATTGGCAGATTGTTGCCATAATGTCTGAGCTGGCTGTTGCTGTTGTTGTTGTGATGTTGGCTGTTGTAACTGAGATGGAACAGTGGTCGAGTGTAACTGACCTAAATAGGCATAATCCCGCGTCGAATAGTTCCGTAACAGGGGCGGTCGAGCTGTGTCAAACTCCGCAGTTGCCAGACGTCGGTTAGTCTCATGCTGAGTTCCAGTCGTCACATTCGGGCCGGAAAATTCCGTTCTACCCGCACTCGATCCACCGTTCGAGTCGACAGAGGCATGCTCGTGAGCGAAATGCACAAATCTGGGATTGCCACTGCCACGTGGACCGGAAGAACCGGATGTAGAAGCCTGCTCCTGGGATTGCAGTGGATGGGTGGATTTATGACCCAATGGATTCGAGGCCATAATGACAGGGGAACACCAGTCCACGACTGGTCGATGTCTGCTTCGTGGTGTCGGTGGTCCACTCTGGGAGATCCAGCACGGTCGATGCGATTCGGCGCAGTCCGAGATCGCACAATCGGCCGTAGAACCGAACGAATTCGATTGAGTTTCGGCCAATGGCCAAAATAGACTAGGATTTTTGGAAATTTGTTGTTGTTGTTGTTTTCTATAGAAATCCTTCGATGGACTGGTATCCTTGTGAAGATGCGAAGCCACGAGTGAAGTACGATGGGATGATCTAAACCCATAATCGCCCTTCGTGACTTGTATATTGGACGCACAAGGTGTAAGTTGGGTGCATGTCAAGTCAAACAATTCAGGATCGGCAGCGGTTTGACGCTCCGGTGCGTATTGGGAGTGCTCGCTTGATACGCCACTGTCGATCGATTCTTCGGCCATCTGGTGCTCCACTTGGAGCGTAATCCCCACAAACACCAGGTGCAATAGCACAATTCNCCTTGGCAAACCAATAGAACTTAACGGAAATGCACAAACGTGGAAGCGAGGAGATGAGCGAACGGGACAGTAAAACGGGAGGTTCAGACCAGTGGTAGAACCTCAAATAGAGAGGCCAATCTGGGGAATCTAGGGTATTAGTAAACAAATCCGATTTAAAAGGAACGGTAATGAGGTGCACAATTGAATCCGGATAGTAGGCGAATATCACAATTTCAGATGAATATGAAAATTGTCTACGTGGCCAGTCCCAAGACACGTGCAATGTAAAAAACGGTTCCATATGGTTTCGAAGCCGGCGCATTGTGTAACAACAGTGGTAATCTGGTCATCTAGTTTAATCCAGTGTCCTACACCAGCGTGGTTGTGGGTCTTCGTGGTCGTGCGCTGGATCGGGAAGTCACATTTAGCCATGTACGTGTCCCGAAACACTGTGGTTGGGGGGGAACGGAGCGAGAAAGATTTGGATGCAGATTTTGTCCAGACGTGACCGCTGACAGTGAAATTGCGCAGACCTAGTCCCTGCCACTACTATCCTCGTAATTTTTATGTGATAATTGGGAAGATGTAATACGTCCGAATCACGCTGTTCCGTTCACATGATAATCATAATAGTATTAGTACACACATGCACAACTTGCTCGGCAATCGGGAAGGTTGATTGAGATCAATCAAAATCCAAACACGGATTGTTCAACAATGGTAGATGAACAAGAAAAGTGAAAAATCAATGCATCGTATCGTGTCGATCAGTAGTGAATCTGTCGCTCGGCCGACTGGTACAATCCGTTCCGTTCGTATACATCATTCGCATGTTGTGCCCCCGCGTGTTTGAGCAATAGAACTCAATCTGACTCCCACACACACACACATACGCGAATGTATCCACATCTGCACCGAGTTACACACTCACGCATGCACGTTCATACGTACGCACATATGCACGCAGAAATAGGAACTAAAATGCATACAAACAAAAATGGACAGCCTTGGTGAATGTGTAGGATAGGCAGGTGGTTGGCCTGATGGCGCACTCACGGATGAACGACGGATGGGTGGATAGTCGTGACAATAGGTGGATGGATGGATGGATGGATGTTTGGTTGGATGGTTTGATGGACGGATGAGAAGGATGTGAACAATCGAGTTTTCATATCACAGACACAACAAATGAACGCAAAGGTGAATGATGCCCCCAGCACACACACACACACACCGTGAGACCGGCGAACGATCTGAGCTGCTCACTACAATGCAATGAAATCACGCACACAAATTAAGTGGTTGAGTGAATTCGGACACTCCGCACGTGTGTGTGTGTGTGTGTTGTATGCGTGCGCGTGTACGCGCGCGTGTACGGAAGCAGCGCTTGTGGTAGTGCAGTCTCTGAGTCTATTTGTGTGCGTGTACGTGCGTGTGTGCGTGCGTGCGTGCCTGCTCGCATGTCTGCTATCTGCCTTCAATGTGTACACCGAATTTTCCACGCAACTACTATGGTTGCATGAGTAGATGCATGTCCGTATCCGATTGATTCGTTGTTGCGCTTGATGTCATAGCCGGTTAAACTCGTTCATTCTTTCATACGTTCACTCATTCACTCGTGCTTTGTCAGATTCGCCTTTTAGCCGGCCCTTCGGGTGAGTCACACACACACACACATACAAACAGACACAGATACTAAAGTTCGCATGCTTTTGCCATCCGAATTCTGTTCCGTCACAGTAAGTAAAGAAGTGTGTGCGAGGATGCATGTGAATGTGTCCCAGCGCATTTGTATGTCCATCTGTATGTATGCTCATATGTACGTACGTACGTATATATACATATATGTGTATATAAATAGATATATTAGTAAGAATTACAAGCCTACGGAAGGAAGTCCCTGACCGCGTACACCTTCAGTTACACATTCACGGCGCACCGCAACGCGCACATTCTTCACACTACTATAGGGATACAGATAAAGGGAGTTTCTCTCATTGGTTAATGCAGAGATTGTATGTGTGTTTTAAGTCTGCCGGACTGACGGTCTGCTTGAGCACATCTGTCTTCCCCGCTATATGTCCGGGCATAGAAGCTCTAATGTTGTTTGTGATGTCAGTTCCACCCACGCAATTCACGGTGCTTGTTACATTGGGGCATTTACTGGGGAATGCTGGCAACTGTAGAGTCCTGCTCTAAGCCCTTCATATCTGCGTTTTTCCAAGCACTTAAACATACCCACAACAACAGGAACAATTTTTGGATTCGTGAGATAGTTTATTTGCACCCTGGGGGAAAATGTGCTCGAATCGCCTGCCCTCTTTTGTCACTCCAAACTAATGGGGTCATTTCTTCCAACCGAGGTCTCATCGGTTGTTTGTTTTCCACTAGCCATAAAAACGCTTCGATTTTGAGAAGATATTCAGTTTTTCTTTGTTGTTCGTGTTGTTGTTGTTGTTGTTGTTGTTGTTGTTGTTGTCATTGTGCTTCAGTTTCTGATGTTTCGGAATCACGCAACTACTGATATCCATTTGAGTAATGACAAACACTGGTCGATTGGAGATCCAGCAAAGAAACTTCGGTTAGCTAATGATGTGTGGGTGTGAAGGGAACTCTAGATTTTATATGTAAATATGATATATACACGTATATGTACAAACGCTTCTCTCGAGTCGTTCATATCAAGAGATCTACTGTTTCTTCAAAATAATTTTTCTGTAGGTTAACAGCCCACCAAGGGGTTGCTTGGCCTTATGATTGTCATATTTCACATTTTGCTTTGAATATTAAACTTTGATTTCAAAACACCATATTTTTTTATCTTCCTGTCGGCCGCATTTAGAAGGTGCAACTCCAAATGTATGCAATTTTACCATTTATATATATACACATAAATATATTGCATATTGGACAGCCGTTTCGTCCTATTTGAGACCCGTGCATATATTTTGTGTCCCCTGTCAAGACTCGAAACCATCAAGAGTGCATGGTGCCTATGAAAAATCGAATGAGCTAATCCAAGCTCAATACTCTAAAACTGATATAACCATCCGTACAAGGTGATGACCGTCGACCATGTAAATCAGAGGTAAGGGTTTGGAGTTCCGATCCGAATGTTCGCAGTTCGAGTCCTGACACGGACATAAAAAGTACGCATTGCTGAGGAGTCCCAAACAGCTATCCAGTGCTCTTTGTCGTTCACCACAAACGCTTCCATCGCATTTCAATGTATTCACCTTGTGGGGCAATAACGAACTCCGAAGGAGTGAACCCTATACCTGAGACCATAAAGAGTGTCTAGTGCCTCTGAAAAATCGAAAGGGCTAATCCAAGCTTGCTACTCTAAAATATGCTGCATATTGCACTTAGTGGTACATGAATGACGGAAAAGAATTGCCTTGGAAGCACATGACCGGTTTCGCGTATCTTTCCGCTTGTCACGCTTGCGTATCCGGTAATCTTTGGCCTTCGCATTAATATAGTTGTACCTACGAAATGCATTTTCTTCACAACCTAACCTAATTGGTAACACCGAGTGCATTTGTTCGGACAGCTCTTTCGGGACTAGTTCATTGATAAATCAATACCATGACTGAATGTTTTGTAGGTGGGTTAGATGCTACTAATCGCAAGAAACAATGTACATATATACAAGGCATTTACTTATGTCGATCATGCTCGATCGCATGGTATCCACTTTGAATCACTTCATGGCTTTGGCTGTCTGATGATAAGTTTCAACAAAAAGATTCTTTTGCGGACGAAAACTAACCAACCTCGTGGGAGATAAATTACATAGTGCATTGTTCTGGACAGGTAGTGATGAATACCATTTTCTGTATGGTTATCACAAATGTACCACTAGTAACAGTGCATTTGATTGCAGTCCCACGGACTTTGCTGTTCCTAATTGATAGAAGTTCAAATCATCACGAGAGATAAATCCAGTCGTTTTACTTTCAATGATATACACCCTTAGGGGCGATTTTTCCGTAGCTATGTCAATGGACTGCTACCGAAGGGATCCTAAATAGTTCTCATTTCGAGGTACTCATGTGGGAAATGTGCTTCTCGATTTCTTATTAGAGACTGATTCTGCAAAACTGACTAATCTGATTACTGTGCCATCCCCCACACGAGGTTGACTAACTCTTGCTCAAAGAGTCAATTCCTCCATATTTATTTGCAGTTACACCTCCGAAGCCATGGGGTGCATCAAAGTCGAACTCATACGACTGCCGCCTTATAGACTCAATTGCAGTATGCTTGAGAATCTATTTCTTAACCCCAAAAGAGCAGCATATACTTCCACTCCATTTCACCCGAGATGTCGAGAGCAGATACATTTCGGAATGCAACAGTTTGGAAACTAAATTTTTAAACTAGGTGGCTAAAGCACTAAGGAGAGTAAACGGATCATTAATCCGTGTTCAGTTCATGTTGTGTGCGTTACGTAACACATGGTGTTCAGGTTGCTAAGTTCATCTGAACAGCAGCTAATGGTGTTTTGAGTTCGAACCCTGACACTGTCCCAGGTCTTTGCAATTTATGTGTTTCTACAGGTTGGCCGTAGGTTCTTTCAGGAAATGGATCATAAACTTGTGTGTTTAATAAGTAAAAGGGTAGTAAAGAACGTTCTATTTCCTGTTTATATTTGTAGATTAAAAGAATTGGATTAAAACATTTTCTATCTAACAGCCGAAACCCATAACAAACAGTGGTCCCTTTGTCCCAAAGTAAATGCACACTTTTTATTGTGGCGTGCAAAAAATACCTCAACTGTCTATCGGAACCATACGGATACATGATTTCATACTATTGTGTGTTTTGTACCTTGGGACATGAGATCATTTGTGGGCAGCCTAATGTCAAACACGTTTCGTGTAGACCTGTGAATTATTTTCTTATTTGTTTGGTCCACAGTTGCTTTGAGGACAATATGAGAAGCTGACTATCCAGTA